CTGTAGTCCCAGCTACTTGGGAGGCTGAGGCAAGAGAATCGCTTAAGCCCAAGAGTTGGAGCTATCTGTGACGCCATGGCACTCTACCGAGGGAGACATAGTGAGACTCTGTTTCAAAAAAAAAAAAAAAATTCTTATTAGCTAATCTAAGCCTTCGTGTTTAGGTATAAAAAATGATTTTTCTTTTTATCTTGGGAAGAAAAAACCAAGCAGAGGCCAGGTGTGGTGGCTCATGCCCATAATCCTAGCACTCTGGGAGGCTGAAGTGGGTAAATTACCTGAGCTCATGGGTTCAAGACCAGCCTGAGGAAGAGCAAGATTCCATCTCCAAAAAGTAGCCAGGCATTGTGGCAGGTGCCTATATTCCCAGCTACTTGGGAGGCTAAAGCAAGAGAATTGCTTGAGCCCAAGAGTTAGAGGTTGCTGTGAGCTACGATGCCACGACATTCTACCCAGGGCAACAAAGTGAGACTCTGTCTCAAAAAAAAAAAAAAAAAGCAGAGTCATTATGATGGCTAAGAGTATTTTGTATATAGTTTTTGTCCTTTAATTATCTGAGAACTGTTTGTGGTATCCTCATATTGGGAGAATAAATAAAAATATTGTACCTTCATTTTATGATGTATACATTTTGATATTATGTGTCATTTCTCTCACTGAAACACACTATGTGACTGAGTCAAGGATGGACAGTTTCTTACTCCTTGTAGCTTTTAGATGTTTACTCATACATTGCTTGTATAATAGCTAATTGTTGTCCAGTATATGTTTTTGTGTTTTATTTTCCTCAATGTACTACTTTACAATTGTGCTTGTGGAAGAGTTTTCCTGTTAATTTTCAAATTTTATTTTCTAATTTCATCATTTGAAAGCTTAATGATTACGATGATTTTTCCATCATTTTGGTCATTTGCGAAAACGTTACATTATCTAGACGTTGGGTTTGTATAGTAGCATGACAGTTTTGCATAATGTGCAAATACTTTTAAAATACCATGTTCACATTCTAGGATATTGGTATGGTATAGAGCTTGAAAAACCCCATGGCAAGAATGATGGTTCGGTTGGCGGTGTGCAGTATTTTAGTTGTTCTCCAAGATATGGAATATTTGCTCCCCCATCCAGGGTGCAAAGGTGAGAAAATGGAATTTATGTTTACTCACAAGAACTTCTTATAATTTGCAGTGGTTTATAGAGACCCTGATTTTTTTTTTTTTTTATTAAAGACATGCCTGTCTGCAACGCACATCGACTTTCAAGGGGTTAACCAGCCACCTTCTTCAGAGAGAAGGCTCATGGAAAGCTAAATTTGCTTTGCTGAGGATTTGCAATTTTGAAAACCTCCTTTATTCCTCATTTGCAAACCCTATGAGTATGTGTAGGCTATTAGAAGTGGCGTTTGCAGCTAAGAACAGTGAGAGCAGCAAGCTTAATCTGTCATGCAAACAAAAGTGAAAATGCTCTCTGATTGCTTCAGTCACATCCTAACTACATTAAATTTCCTGCCAGCAGGCGCCCCATTCATTCTCTTACAAACCTAATGGAACCAAAATGGCTTTTTCCTCTGATTTCTTTTAGTTTTCAAAAATAGATAGGCAGTAGATCTTTGGGGGAAGTGAAGCTTCAAGGATTTTTATGTAATATACCTCCTCATTGCTTCTTAAGATAGTACACTTTCGTATTGCCTTATCTGGTTTTAAAAAATAACTTGAGCAGAAACAAGTCCTTATGAAATTCCAGGTACCATTAGGTGAAATGACTTCTGGTACGGGCTGAAAGAAGTTGGCTTGGTATGCTTTTCGGTGGATGGGAAGTGGGATACTGATCTTTGCCTAAGAGATAACAGGTGTAAGAGACAACATGATCACTTGCATGAGGCCAGGACTGCGAGTGCCCTCTGAGAACCTTGCCTTGCTGTCCCGTACAGCTGGACTGTTGCGACTCCCTCCTGGCCAAAATAAGGTTTTATATCCATTTATTCCTTCGTTTATTTCCCACTTTGAAAAAAAATCACATCTTTTTATTAATTTCCTTCTTTCATGTGCTTGATGTATTTTTCCCTCTTATTTATGATAATACAGCATTCAACATACAATGCTCTGAGCGTACAAAGTATCTTCATTTAACTATTGTTTCAACTGATCTCAGTAAGTGTTTCATCCAGTAAGCTGCAAAAGAACAGTAACCATTAGTAAGTGGTAGGCCCTGGATGGTGTCCTGGAGATGCATGTCCCATTAATTCCCCCAGATCCAGCGAGCTGTAAATTCTTAGATGATTCCCATTTTGCATGAAGAAAGAAGTGTCAGGAGATAAGGAACTTAGCTAAAGTCATATGGCTGGTTAATGTGGGAGCTGGACACCGCCCAGGTGTGGTATTTTGTTGTTAGTGTTTTTTCCTAAGCCGTTGCTTTTAGACAGATTGCTCTTTTTTGTAGTCATTGTATAAATGACGATATGGAGAGAATAGCTGTGCCTAGTGTTCCTTTGTGTCGAGCACTGTCTTCAGCGCTCTCCCCTTTACTCTTTCCAGCAGCCCTGTGGTCATCTCTCCTCACAGATGGGGAAAGTGAGACGCGGGCAGGTGGAGTGCGCTCTGCTCCCAGGTAGTCTAGTACCAGAATGTGTGCTCCTCACCATAACCCTATAGCGGTTAGGAGAGCTTCAGTGACTCCTTCCAGGATGCATATCCTGTAAATGATGGACTTGGGAGTGGAATCCATGCTGAGTCACCAGTGCCTGTGTTCTCATTCTACTTCGGGCATATCTTCATTAGCACGTTGCCTCGGTCTCTTACAAGTTTTATCTCTGAGTCATGAGGACGGGAGTTCTTCTTTTCACATTCAGTTATGCAGAGTTCACCATTTGGCATATTTTAGGCATGGTAAATGTTGATCAAATGTGATTTCTAGTTCAGTGCTTTTTATGCTGCAACAGCCTTTGCTCCTCCTTTATAGTGTGAAGCCTCTGTTCTTTCCCCGGTTTCATTTTTCCCCCTCACTTTGTTTAGGGGGCATGCGTTTTTTACGTTGTATTTTGCTCACCTTCTATTTTGGTTATCTTTAAGGTGGGGCATTGAAAAGCAGCCCCCCTCTTCTTTAGAGAAAGAGGGCTCGTTGAATGAGCTGCTGTCTTGATCCAGCTGTCTTCCTGTCATCTTCTGATTGTTTCATTCATCATCATCAAATACTATTAAGTGTCTTTTAGCACTTGTGCTGTGCTAGGCATTCTGCAAGCAAATAAAACAGGCATGGTCTCCGATTTTGAGGAGTCTCTAGTCTAAACCAGCTTTGGAGCTCTTTAAAGATGCTACTCATCTTTGAGATGGGAAGTATTTGAAACTGGGGACTGCCTGAGGACAGTCTTACTCAGGCGGTGCCTGCTAGCCCAGAATCTTTGCACATGCTATTTTCTCTGCTTGGATGCCTTTGAGACCCTCACCTGCTGTATCACCCAACGGTCACTTAGCTAAGACATCTTTTCTTAGTATATAAACTTTAAGAAAACTGGCCGCCCAAGTGATCTTCATTAGCATTTCCTTAGTTCTTACCACTTTTACTAATGAACTGCTCAGTTTTAGAATTAAGTGCCTCTCAGCTACCTGTCACCAATTCACTCAGGTATGGGTTCTGTTTGTCACATTATGTATGTTCATCAGTCTCTCATAGATTGTTCTGTGTTGGGTATTATTTAAAAATGATGCATAGGAGTTGCAAGATGCAACTGCAAATACCGCAACAGTTGCAGCATTTTTTGATGGTAATAAAATGTGCTGGAGGAGGTGATTGACAAACGGAAAGACGTGCAGATGTAGGTCAGTCTACAGTCGGAAGAAAATGAGGCTGTCAGGATAGGACTTTTTAAAATAAAGAATGATTTAAATATCAGTAAATGAGGAGAAACCCACTGGGAAAGTGACCTTTATGATTGTGCTTCGAGTCAGATAAAAAGAAGCCATACCGTTTTGTTAGAAACATCATATACATACACTAACTCAACCGATATCTCTTTTCTTTTAGTTTAAGAACTGGTAATTTTTTTTTTTGCAGTTTTAATCTAACATTTGTTAAATTTAATATAAAAACACTTTTTTTCAGGGTGGCACCTGTGGCTCAAAGGAGTAGAGTGCCGGCCCCATATACCAGAGGTGGCGGGTTCAAACCCAGCCCTGGCCAAAAACTGCCGAAATAAAAAACAAACAAAAAACCCACCTTTTTTTCATATGTTTTAGTTTTAACTTAGAAGATAATGTTCCAAAGAAACAGAACCAGGTCCATACTTTAAGTGAATTCACTTTAAGCTGGCCTTTCCCATCCTAATTATCCTTGGATGCTGAGGACCCCTTCTATTTGATTATTGCCTGATTCCCATGCATATTGAGATCCAAGCTCGTTCTTATCTCATCGTGGGTGCTCAATATTATTTGTTGAATAAAAAAGGTAACAGGTAACAATTTGTTTGAGGGCCTTAGTTAAGAGCCCGTCTTAAAGCCGGAGAGGAGCTACCTCTAATGAGGTGTACTTTGTTTCTTTTATTCATAGATTAACAGATTCCCTGGATACTCTTTCAGAAATTTCTTCAAATAAACAGAATCATTCTTATCCTGGTAAGATTACACAGTTTTGTGTTCCTAATAATTATTTCTTCACTTTCATTTAATGACAGTTTTTACTGTGAAGTATATATGTAAGTGAACGTGTATATAAAATGCATTTGTACAGTGTATATAAACATAGAGTAAATGTGTGTTACCCACCCCGTAGCTGAAGCTGATTGCCTGTACTGTAGAGCCCCTGTCCACCCCACACCCTCCTCTGCCTCCTTCATTTACCCCATTCTCAGGTATATGAGTCTTGAGTTTTATGTTAGTTATTCCCCTGATTTTGTTTATATTTTAAAAATCCATGTATAGATAGACCATAACTAATATATGTTTAGTTTTGATTGTTGTTTTCTACTCTTGTTATTTAGCATTCCATTGAAATATATTATTCACTGTATACTTGACAGTCCTTTGGGTTATATGCTGTTTTTGATATTATAAACTGTGCTGTTACACACACCTGCAGGAGTTTCTCTAGGATTGCCAGGTGTAGGATGCCCAGATTCTCAACCACCTGAGATGATGCTAAACTACATTGCCCACTCCCACCCGGAGTGGATCAAGAGTCTTGGTCCCTCCCCACCTCCTTAACACTAGTCTTGTTTGATTTAGAAGTCTTTGCCCGTCTGATGGGTTTAAATGGTGTCACATTATGGTTGTAATTTGCATCGTCTAGGTTACAAATGAGGTTGCGTGTGTTTTCATGTTTATGGGCCATACACATTTCTTCTTTCAAGAAGTGTCTGTTTAAGTCTTCCGCTCCTTTTTTCTTAGGTATTTTTGTCTTTCTCTTGTTAATTTCTAGGCTTCTTTATGTATTTGGGGTACTAATATTTTTTCAGGTTTATGTATCGCCAATATCTTGCCCAGGTTGTGACTTGGTTTTTATCTTTTTATTTGTTTACATATATTTTTGTACCTTTAGATGAGCAGAAGTCCTTATTTTTGTGTAGTCCAAATAGGAAACCATTTTATGGCTTGAATTGTTTTGTCTTAAATTTTTTCCTAGTGAAGGTATTTTCCTATCTTGTTGTTTTCTAAAAGGTTTATTTACATCTTTGTATTTCACATTTTCCAATGTACCTGGAATTGATTTTGTGTATAATCAGTATCTAATTTCGTTCTTCCTCTGTATGGATAAGCATCTGTAAAGAGTGATCTGTATGATACCAGTCCTGAAATATCTGTTGAGGTTAATTTTATGACCTGTGAATTTTCACCATTCTAATAGGTATGCTGTTTGACTTGAAATTCCCTAATATTTTAATTTGGAATTCCCTAAAGATGTAGATATTATATTAGTTTGCTGGGGAAGCCGTAACAGAGTACTACTGACGGGCTAGTTGAAACAACATTAATTTATTTTCTCACAATTCTGGAGGCTAGAAGTTTGAGATCGAAGTGCTGGCAGGTTTGGTTTCTTTTAAGGCCTCTCTCCTTGTCTTGTGGATGGCCATCTTTGGTGTCTTCCCATGACCTTTTCCATGTGTGTGTGTCCCAGTATCTTCTTACAAAAGTCACATCAGTTTAGAGCCCACCCAGATGACTTCATTTTGCCTCTTTAAAGCGCTGCCTCCAAATAGAATTACATTCCAAGGTACTCAGGGCTTAGGACTTTAACGTAAGAATTCTGAGGGGACAGAATTCCCTCAGATGTTCAGTATCTTTTCATATGTTTATTTGGCATGGTTTTTTGTATTTTCAAAATTGATATATCACAGTTGTACATATGTCGAGGGTGCCTGTGATGTTTTGATACATATGTACAGTGTGTAATGATAAAGTCAGTGTTATTGGGATATCTGTCATTTCAGACACTTTCTTTGTATTGGGATTATTATTCTTCTAGCCATTTTGAAATATACGATAAATTATTAACTATAATTTCCCTACTGTACTATTAGTATGAATACTAGAACTTATTTCTTCTGAGTTTTTGTACCCATTAACCAACCTCTTTTCACATCCTCTTCCTCCGCCCCCCACTACCCCCTGTCCCCTGGGCCTCTATTAGTTACCATTCTACTCTCTATCTCCCTGAGATCCACTTTTTTAGGTGCCATATATGAGTGAGAACATGCAATATTTATCTTTCTGTGCCTGGCTTATTTCACTTAACATTATGACTTCCAGTTCCATCTGGTTGCTGCAAATAACGGGATTTCATTCTGTTTTTATGGGTTAATAGTCTTCCATTGTGTACACATGCACCATATTTTCTTGACCCATTCATCTGTTGATGGACACTTAGTTTGATGCCACATCTCGGCTACTGTGAATAGTGCTGTAGTAAACTGGGAGTGTAGATATCTCTTTACTATACCGATTTCCTTTTGTTTGGTTATATACACAACAGTGGGATTATTGCATTATATGGCAGTTCTATTTTTAGTTTTTTGAGGTATTGCCATTCTTTTCCCCATAATGGCTGCACTATTTTACATTCCAGTGTCCCATCAACAGTGTGCTATATGTTCTTCAATGAGATGCCTGTTCACATCTTTTGGTCATTTTAAAATTGCTTATTGTTTTCTTACTGTTGAGTTATTTGTATACATGTATTTAGAATGCCAAATATGTTTTGCAAATATTTTTTTTCTCAGTATGTGGCTTATCTTTTCATTCTGTGAACATTCATGGAGCTGGAGTTTTTAATTTTAATGAAATCTAAGTTATCACTTTTTTTCTTTCCTAATCTTTGCTTAAAAAGTTATCGCCAAACCCAAGATCACTCTGATTTTTCTCCTATGTTATCTTCTAGGAGTTTTATAGTTTTGTCTCTTATATTTAGGTCTGTAATCCATTTTGAGTTAATTTTTATGAAAGGTGTTGAGGTCTGGGCCTAGATTTTTGTTTTGCATGTGAATGTCTAGTTGTTTCAGTAGCATTTGCTGGAAACACTGTCTACTGAATTGTCTTTGCTCATTTGTCAAAGACCTGACAGCTGACTATACTTGCATGGGTCTATTTCTGGACTCTGTGTTCTGTTCCCTTGATTTAGTTGTCTAATCTTTTTTTTTATGCAATTTTTGGCTGGGGCTGGGTTTGAACCTGCCACCTCTGGGATATGGGGTCGGCATCCGACTCCTTTGAGCCACAGGTGCCGCCCTATTTGTCTAATCTTTTGCCCATATCACACTGTTATGATCACTGTAGCTTTACCGTAATTCTTCCAGTTGTATCAGCCAGTCCTCTGATTTTGATCTTCTCCTTTTATGTTGTATTGCTTATTCTGGGCCTTTTGCTTGTCCATATAAACTCAACAATCAGTACCAACAAAATAACTTGCTAGGATTTCATTGAATGTATCAATTTGCAAAGATCTGATATCTTAATATTGAGTCTTTTAAATTTATGGACATAAAATATCTTTCCATTTATTTTTATCTTCTTTGATTTCTTGCAGAGTTTTATAGTTTTCCTCATATAGACTTTGTACATGTTTTGTTAATTTATACCTGTGTATTTAATTTTTTGACATTAAGGTAAATGGTGTTGCTTTTATAATAATTCCTTTCACCTCATACCAGCTTTCTTTTGGTTAAGTATTTTACCTAAAGTATTTTTCTCTATGCCCCATTGATTTGTAACTTTTCTGTGTCCCTATGCTTTTAGAATATTTTCTAACTTGAACGTAGTTGATTTTACTTTTTAAAAAATATTGTCTGATAGTCTGTGGTTTTTTTTAACCCATTTGCATTTATTGTAATGACTGATTTATCACCAATATTATTTAGGCCATGTTACTTTTTTTCTATTCAGATTTTTTTTTTTTTTGCATTTGAATATTTTTTCTTTCTTGACTTTATTCTGGTTATATTCCTACATTGCCCTGCTCTCCTTCATTTATCCCCTCTACTTTTAAGTAGATCACATCCTTTCCCCTCTGCCCCCCTCTGGAATATGCTTCTTATTAATTACTATAGATAATTTAACATACATACTTAGCAGACTTTACCATTTTTACCCTTTCTCAAGTAATAGAAAATCCTTAGAAACTGAGCTGTCCAGTTTCTATTTTATTTCCTTTGTAAATTTGGCATTATTATAATGGTTTTATATAATGTTTAATTCACTCCCATTTTACCAGTATCTTTACTAATCCTCAGAGCCTCTACTTGGGATCATTTTGTTTTCACCTCACATATATTCCTTACAATTTCTTTTAGAAAGTGTCTATTGGTAGCCAACTCTGTCAGTTTTTGTCTTTTCTAATCATAGTTTAACTGGTTTATTGGTATAGAATTTTAGGTTGAAAGGAATTTTCTCCCTGTGCATCTGACAGTATCATTCTGCTGTTTTCTGGCTTCTGTCATTGAAGACAGGTCAGCCAGTCTAACTAATCCATATTGTTATAGGGGATTTGCCTTTTCTTCTTGAAGGCTTTTGAGGATCTGTTTCTTTATATTGTGCAGTTTCACTATGCTTTGTCAGGCTGGAGATTTCTTTTTGTTCTGTTTGGCGTCATGGATCTTTTCGGATCTGGGAGCTGGTGTCTTTGATCAGTTTTGTAAAATAAAAATTCATTATATTTCACAATTTTTCTCCTCTGTTCTCTGTAGCATCTCCTTCTGAGCCTCTGTGTAGTAGTATTTTGGACGCCCTCACTCTTTTTAGTGCCTCTCTCCTATTTTTCACAACTCACACTCTGGACTATATTCTGGACTTCTTTTGCCTATCTTTCTGTTTCCTGAGTCTCTCTTTGGTTGTGTTTATTCTGCTGCTTAATCTAGACAAAGCGATTTTAATTATACAAATTTCCTTTTTTTTATTTTGAAAATCTCCTTGATTGTTACCTACCATAGCTTATTCTTCCCCATATTTTCAAGTTTTTCTTCTATGTCTTTAAACATTTAAAATTTTGTTATCTTTCATTTCATGTTAAATAATTGAGCATCTAGAGTTTTGTGAGTCTGATGCTGCCATCTGTTTCTGTTGAAGCTGACTTGTGGTGCCTTTTTCCCTTGTGAATTTTGTAATTCATTATTGTGAGATGCTTATTTGACTCAGAATTTTATAGATGAGGGCTTTATGAGGCCCAGGTTGACACCTCCGGAGAAGTTTATATTGACTTGTGGCAGTTGCCTGGAGGCGCTGCTAATGGGTGACTAATTTATGTTCACTACAGTGTTTATTATATTACACAGGTAACATGAATTTGACTCTTGGTCACAAATTCTGAGGGGAGAGAATTTTGCTATCTGACTATTAAGCCAATTTCCTTTGTCTTCGTCTGAACGGGTTTCATTCTGTTTCTCTTTTCACCTTGCACTGAGACTGGGCTGTTGGGGGCCCTTACTGTATCCACAAGTCCTGGGTGGGGATCCCTGTGTGGCTGGCCCTGGCTTTGCTTCCTTCCTGGTCTCCTTGGTCTCCTGTGCAGCCAGCAAGATGGAGGCCCACGCTTTCTAAATTCAGTGGAAACTTTGGTGGTATCACATGGTAGATTACTTTGGTGCTTGGTGACCTCTCGAGGTTTCTCCTTTTTGTTTTTTAGCATCTTTGAAATTGTGCCTTTTATGTCAGCTCAATAGTATTTTTTAAAAGTTACAGTTGTTTTAAATCAGAGTTGTTTCAATCAAGAGATTCATTCAGCACATCTGGTCTGCCATAACTGCCAGAACCGGAAATCTTACTCCTTTTAAAAAACATCTTTAAAAAATTTTACCTTTTGTGAAGCCTTCTTGTTTTCATTCTGTTATCAGGATATGCCAACAGTCGTAAGCTCTCACGTTGATTATTGTTCAGGGTTTTATAAATGGGGCATCTTTAATGATAGCGTGTTAAAACCATTTCATCCTTTTCATTTTTCGAGTGATTATCAAGATGATAACATTTGATAGTAAAGCTTATCAGCTTTATCAGCGTTTGATTCAGTTTTCTTTTACCTTCAAGAAATCTTATAATAAAAACCTTCAAAAAGTAATATCATGGTCTTAACTTAGTCATACGTTTGCACACTTTGATCAGAAAGGTAAAGGTAAAATCTCAACCCCAGTTGTATCCTGTCTGTAGTCCACCTTCTTTGCTTTCTTTTCGTAAAGGAACATTTGCTACAATAGAACATCTATAGAAGAAACAATGAAAGATAAATTTTAATCAGGAGCTAAACATTTGTGAGTTATTTTTCCTCTTCTAACCTTAACTTTCGTGTTCAGGCTTCAGGAGAAGTTTCAGCACAACTTCTGCGTCTTCCCAAAAAGAGATTAACAGAAGAAATGCTTTTGCCAAGTGAGTATTAAGAAGATTTAGAGAAACACCTTTCAAGATGAACATGATGGGATTCCGTGAAGGAAGAAAAATGGAATTTGTATCTTTTATAATACGTTGCTTGGTAGAATTTTAACATGTAGGCGAGAAGGTGTGATGATGCAAGCTCAATTAAAAATGTCACCAGTGACTAGAAATAGTACACCGCATATATTTTTCTCTCCAGAGGCTAGTATTGCTAATAAAAGTTGGAGGAATTTACATTTTATGTTTTCATTGAGTAGGGCGGATTCATGTTAAACTCTGCTTTCTTAAACTGTCTGAGATTTGATTTAGTATAATAGTATCGGCAGTACATGAAAGAAATGTGAGGTCCATTTGCATAAAGAATTTTATAATTATTTTAAAAAGTGCTCCCATTCCCTCTTAGAGACTATATTGCTCCAGAAATTTTGTATCTTTGTAGAGGAAATACCCTTTGTTTTTTCCCATTTATTTTTACCTCCCCTAGACCTTCTTCACTGCCCCTAATAGTTCTCTGAAACTTTTTGGAACTTTTTTTACTTTTAGAGGAATATGAAGCTCTTTTAGACTGATTGTATTAAGCAGTTCTTTTTTTTTTTTTTTAAATACTGCCAGTCAATCTAGCCATAACACCCTGGGGGAAAAAACATAGGTGGGTAGGAGGAGGAAAGTGCACATACTTGCTTAAGTAGTGGATGGGAAGAAGCCGCTAAAAATTAGAGCCCAAGGGCAAGTATTTGCTGTCCAGCTGAGCATGGGCAGCTAATTTAGTCTGGCATGAAGCTGTCGGAAGGCTTCACAAAGATCTGAAATTTCCCGTGAGAACCTGGGCTTTCCCTCAGGGACTGCTGCAGGAGTGTCCAGCTGCAACCCGTGGCTGGCTACTAATGCTTATCTGTGATGGAAGATATCACGAAAATTATGCACGGATGCTTTTTGGTTCATCAGCTTTCATTAGTGTTTGTGTGTGTATGTGTGGCCCAAGACAATGCTTAGGTAATGTCATAAGCCAGCAATGAATGGATGGATGGGTTGGATGGGGTTCTCCCCCCCCCCAAACCCTCATCAATTTTGAGAATTTTGAAATTGATCTCCTCCTGTGAGTAGCTGAAAGAGTTTAAGGGGAGTCACTTTATGCCCCAGTATAATGAAGATATTCAGGGGTTCTTAGGTAGAATGGAAGACATTGCTAAGAAGAAACAACCAGAATATAGAGGATTCTGAAGGGGCAGAGCTATGAAAATCAGTGTCCAGATGCTGGTGAGTGGAAGAATGTGATTCAGAGAAACAGGAAGGAGAAGAAAAATCTGAGCTGTGGGAATCACACAGCAGGTGTGGGGATGCGTAAGATGATCTGTTGGCTGGAGGAGGAAATGTCAGCGCTTATTTTTTTTCTATGAAAATAAAAAAGTTAAGCTTTTTACTAATATACTAATGTAAGATTGACACTGGTACCTTTTTCTTTTTAAAAACAATAAATACATATACTTTGTTGAGGATATATAATTGATTTTTAACATTAGACATTTGTATGTGACTGAAATATTTGGTGATCACTGTTCTCAGGAACAAAAGAAAGACTTTGAGGTCCCTGGCAGGTGCGAGGACACCTGTCTCTGTTCTTAGGGGCAGAGATGGGGCACTGACTGGGTGACCCTCTACTGTGGGGACAGCATTGGCACTGTGCTGTGGTGTCGCTAATCTGGAAGCATGGTGTGTCCTGAAGACTGTGTGTTGAGCAAGCGAGTTTCTTGAGCTTTACCAAACACTGCACCTACCATTTTCTGACTTACTTCTATGGAGATAAATGATACTTCCAGAAGCAACATGGAAAACATAGTCAAAGATGATGAGAATTCCTGGGTAAGAAACTTGAAGGACTTGGGGGCAAAGGACACGTTTGCCCATGTGAGTGAAAGAGAACTGGGGATGGGGTAGGAACACCCGCCGTGTCATTTTTGTGACAGGACAGGAGTCTTCTGGATCAGTATTGACTTGGTGGCAATTAATGTATTTCATTCAGCGGGGAAAAGCCAGAATGGGGATTTGAAGCAGTTCTCTGTGTCATCTGAATTCTATGAAGGTCCAATGCCAAGACTGGCAGCAGTTAAATGAGCTTGAGATTTTAACAGTCCTCGCAAAGACCTGATAGGCATAAGGCACCCGTGCTCTCGCACTGTGCACAGCCACCTGTCAGCGACCTCTTATCCCCAGTGTTACCCCCACCTTCCTTCAGGTCCTCTCTACGCTATCACGAGCATCTCTACTAATCCAAATAGTGAATCCACTGTGTAAATATTGGAAAAGCTGTCAAAGCCTTCATTGGGTGCTGCCTGTAGATACAGGCCATGGGCACGCTGTGGTCCGTCTGAATTTGAATGCCTTCAGGCAGAACCCATGTAATCCAGTTTGCCACAGGCTCCCTCTTTTCACATCAGATGTTGCATTTTCTGCCTGTGTCTGAATCCCTGACACAGGGTGAGGTCCAGACCTACGCACAGCACAGGAGGCCTGCGTGACTGGCTCCCGGGGGCTTCTCCTCATGAGTCACTGCCCTTCTCTAAGCTCTGTGCTTTTCAAAAACATAAATAATATAATTGGTATATGTTGTTCACATGACAATCTCTGCTTTCCCTTTCTGTCTGCTTTTCTTTCAAGTTAGCTCCCCGCTGCTGTGCCTTCCCTGACCCCTTGGGAAAGGAGAGATTTCTTCCCTCCGTTGTGCTCATTCTGCCCCTTGCACTGTCCTGTAGTACTTAGAGCATTTTACTGATTCTCAGGTACAGATCCTGAGGACCCAGCCCCTGGCCTGCTGCCTCATAGGGGGCCAGTAAATGTTTTGAATGAGTACAGGTGGTTTCCAGCATGCCGTGGTTCCACATTTCTCGGTTTTCTGTGCTTTCGAGCTTTGATGTAACTTGAACCAAGTTAATCTCTCTTATGAGCAAGTGTTTATCCAAAAACCCTTAATTTTTGGCTTAGATATTGAATTCATTTATTACCTCCTTCTTTCTTTAAAAACCGTTTTTGACTGTGAACGTCGATTGTACAAGATTTAAAAAATTAAGAAAAACTAAGTACAGGTAAAGATCATCTGTAATTTTGTCACCTAGATGCCCTTATCACCGTTAGCAGTTTGGTATCTGCTTTTGGCACATGACACAAAGTTGGACAAATCATATTCTCTCCTGCCCTTTGGGAAGCGTTTCCTCTTACTGTATCGTGTGCATATTCCCCGATTCTTTAATAACTTTCCTCAGCATGACTTTCATCATGATGTTAAAGACTGTACTAGGATATGGAAACATTTTTATGGCACAATAATAAGTGAAAAGAAGTCATAATTTAGTAATAGATGCCGTACTGTTAAACATGTGTCTGTCTCCCCCACTCCCTTACTCTTTGTCCCCAAGTCCTCCCCATCTCTCTCTCCATGTGTGAGATCAGATAAATACCCAGCCTTGTCTTCTTCTGTTTTTTTTCCCCCCAATTTACGTGTTAGCTCTTTAATCCATTCGGAACTTTTTTGATCAATTATTTTCTCTCAAACAAATTTTTATAACATCACTAATTCAGCACTCCTTTCTCGCTGCTTTGAAGTTTTTACTTTTTATCACATATAAAATAATATTTATATTTTTCATTTTTCCTAAACTGTCTTTTAATGATACCTCTGTGTCATTTTAAAGTAAATTCTTGGCCAGGCGTGGTGGCTCACGCCTATAATCTTAGTACTCTTTCTAGGAGGCCACGGGGGGTGGATTGCTTGAGCTCAGAAGTTTTAGACCAGCCTGAGCAAGAGCTGGTCTCTATTAAAAAGTAGAAAATAAGGCCAGGCGCAGTGGCTCATGCCTGTAATCCTAGCAGTTAGGAGGCGGAGGTTGGGGGATTGCCTGAGTTCACAGGTTTGAGACCAGCCTGAGCCAGAATGAGACCCCATCTCTAAAATTTAGCTGGGCATTGTGGCAGGTGCTTGTAGTCCCAGCTATGTAGGAGGCTGAGGCAAGAGGATTGCTTGAGCCCAGGAGTTTGAGGTTGCTTTGAGCTATGATGCCATGATATTCTACTGAGGGTGACAAAGTAAGACTCTGTCTCAATAAATAAATAAACAAATAAATGAATAATATAAAAAATAGAAAAAGTGAGGCAAGAGTATTGGTCAGGCCCGAGAATTTGAGATTGCTGGGAGCTATGATGCCACAGTATTCTACAACAGAATAAGACTCTGCCTCAAGAAAAAAATAATAAAATAAAAAAGTAAATTCTTGTGCTAGAGCCACAATGTTCTAAGCATTGTAATTTTATAATTTACTATAATGGTGGTGCTTTACTTTCAGCCTTTTCTTTATTACTGATGCCCATCGTGGTTGTGATTGAGAGCTTGGTCTTTGTGATTGGGCAGCCTTGGATCTGAGCATTATCTCTGCTCTTTCCATCTCTCTGACCTCAGGCACATAGCTTAATTTTTGTGAGCCTCAGATTCCTCTTCTGTTATAAGAAGGTCATAATCCCTCCTTCACTGATTCGGATGGGTTGGAGTGACAAAGTATGTGAAGTGTTAGGTGCACTTCACAGGAAATGATAGCTATTGTCATTACCTATATGAAAATCACAGTAGTTTTGTCAGGTTGCAGAAAATTTCCATTGGGATAAATCTGAGAATTTGCATGCCTACATTTCTGTCTAGGAATGGAGCTCTTTCATTATTTTGTACGTTCTTCAGTAAAGATTTATAGTTTTTCTTATACATATTACATATTTCTTTGTGAAATTTATTGTATTTGTGCCTCTGACATGTAAGTAATTATTTAAAAATATTTTTTATTTAAACTCTTTTATCAGTGGCTCAGCGCCTGTAGCACAGTGTTTACAGCGCCAGCCACATACACCGAGGCTGGCAGATTCGAACCTGGTCCTGGCCTGCTAAACAGCAATGACAACTGCAACAAAAAACAGCCAGGCATTGTGGCAGGCACCTGTAGTCCCAGCTACTTGGGAGGCTGAGGCAAGAGAATCACTTAAGCCCGAGAGTGTGAGGTTACTGTGAGCTGTGATGCTACTCTCCCGAGGGCAACATAATAAAACTCTGTCTCAAGAAAAAAAAAAAAAGAACTCTATCACTTTGCAAATGTGGATTAGGATAAATTTCTGGGCCTCAGTTTTCCTGTCCATAAAATTAGAGTCCTCTCTTTTCTTATGCTGTGCTTCGTAGGAACAAATGGGACAGTGTGTGTATATTAAAAATAGAGAAGGTAAAATAAAATGTAAAATAAGTAGTACTAAGATTCTATTCACAGAAAGACTGCATGCTGTTTTGGTAACATGTTGAAGGGTTCCTTTGGCAGAGAGGTGGCATGGGATGGAGGGTGGAAGACTCCAGCTAGCACTGGTCATTTCTGGACAGCCTTGATGGAAGGTCAGAGGACAAGAAGATGCTGGTAGTGTTTCTACTGTGGGTGGAGAGCGGGGTGAGTTCCTTCCAGTTGACAGCGGAGGAAGCTCTATGCCAGGTGGGCCCGAGGCTTTGGATGAGTTTACTGGTGAGTCTCAAGCTGTTTTGTCATGATGTCAGGTTGCCGGTAGGAGATAGGAGACATCTCTTGCGCATTGTAAGCCATTATATGTTGTAGGGAAAAGGAAAGGAATTCTGCTCAAGGCAATGCAGACCCTTTTACATGTTAGCAGTGGGGAAGGTGCTAAATTTTAAGTATAACTAGAGTTCATACATAGAAGATACATATATGTGTGTGTGTGTTTACATATATATATATAAAATACATATGCATATATATACATGCACATACATATATACAAATCTATTTTCCAAAGTTGTAGATTGACAATTTTTTATTTTATTTTTTAATTTCTTCATTACTTTTTTGGCCGGGGTACACCTCCAGTATATGGGGCCAGCGCCCTACTCCTTTGAGCCACAGGTGCTGCCCGATTGACAATTTTTAAAATTTCCTTTCCCCGGGAGAAATATTTTAAAAATAAACATTTTAATTTATCACAGCAAAATACCAGCTTCTTTTCTTTTTACCTCATTTGATAATACTAATAGCAGTTAAATAGGTAGAAGTATATGTTTTATGATTACTACTAATATTTTACTGAAAGCATGTATATTTATGTATATATATTGCAATATATATGTTTATGTATATTTATAAATTGCAGGCAAAATCTTAAATCCAGATTAGGTGTAGTATTAAAAGAACCAAAACCTTTTTTAATGTTAAAAATACAGTTGACTCTTGAACAACACAGGGGTTCAAGGTGCCAGCCTTCCACCCTCCTAGAGTCAAAAATCCACATAGAACTTTTGATTCCCCCAAACTTAACTACTAATAGCCTGTTGATTGTAAGCCTTACTGGTAATTTGAATAGCTAATTCACACATATATTGTATGTTATGTGTGTTACATACTGTTTGATTACAAGATAATAAGCTAGAGAAAAGAAAACATTAATTAAGAAAATCGTAAGCGAGAAAATACATTTGCCATTCATTACACGGAAGTGGATCACGTGAAGTCTTCAGCCTCATCTTCGTTTTGAGTAGGCTGAGGAGGAGGAAGAGGAGAAATTTGCCTTCTTGTCCCAGGGGTAGCAGATACAGAAGAAAATCCACAGATAAGTGGCCCTGTACAGTTCAAACCTATATTAAGGGTGAACTCTATTTTCTGAAAACTGCTATTTAAAATCTAAAAAAAAAAAAAAAGTTGTATATACCATGTGTATTGTTGTGAAATACCATGAAGTATTTTCTTACGGGAATTAACATACTGAATTCTGCATTTAGCAGTGGGAATGAGTATAATCCATTGCATCACCTGGCTTTCGCACTGAAGAGTTCTTCTCCTTCCCTCCTAAACAGATCCAAAGCTGCTTTGCGTCGCAGCTGGAGCAGCACTCCCACCGCAGGCGGCTCTGAAGGGGGCGTGAAGCTGCACGAGGGCTCCCAGGTCCTGCTCACGAGCTCTAATGAGATGGGTACTGTTAGGTACGTGGGCCCCACTGACTTTGCCTCAGGTATCTGGCTTGGACTTGAGCTCCGAAGCGCCAAGGGGAAAAATGATGGAGCAGTGGGCGATAAACGCTATTTCACCTGCAAGCCAAACCACGGGGTGTTAGTGAGACCGAGCAGAGTGACCTACCGGGGAATTAACGGGTCAAAGCTTGTGGATGAGAATTGCTGAGTCAAACTCCTAAAATACCGAATGAGCTCAAACACACACACATACGCGCGCGGTTTGTCCATGGCAAATGGTTTACTTTACTTAGCCATTATTTAAATTTTAAAAATATAGTTATCTTGATGAAAACCATTACAACAGTTCAGAAAGCGTCCTTTAAAAGGCCACAAGTATGAACTCTGTGGAATCATAATTTCTTTTAAAATAATTTCAAAATAAATACTTTTTAAAGCTTTAAGTCCCAAGAGAATTCTGGGGCTCAGGAAAGAAAACGTGCCATTGGGTGACCAACTGATGCATTTACTTAACTTGTTATGTTTCATTTTTGCTCATAATACTGGATTTTTCTTAGTGCCATATTTGTGATGGTTTTCACTAGCTTTGGTTAACATATGATGTTCACATGGCCTTTTTTGTCAAGCAGTTTGGGAGTTTTTCTTTCTGTGCTTTGTTACTAATAAGTGCAATGAGAATACACATTATGTATTTTTTGTAGTTTTTTTGCCTGTTTAGAAACACCTCATCTACAGGACATGTTAGAACTTTAGAGCCAGGGGGGGTCTCAGTGGCTCTCAAGCGCTGCTTGTCCCCTGTTGCCAGGCTCACTAACTGGTTGGTGAACAGAGTTCAGTCGAGGCACGTGGGTCTACGGACCTGTGGCTGAGTGTTCTTTCCGCTGTACCAAGTGTGTAATCTCAGACTTTTCTCCTGCAGCTCATGATGAACGGTTTATGAATTGAAGTCATATTTAGAATTTTTTTCACCGAGTCATTTAACTTCCTCCCTGGATATATTTGTAACACACATGAAGCACTTTTAAGACATGATGCACTTTTTGTATTTGGGGAGAATTTGCCATCCTTTCCTCCTGCAATAGGAAAAGCATTTTGAAATATGTACTTAAGAGAAAAGAGCAGATAAAGGTTTGTTAGGAAGGATATATGTGTTATTCATTTAAATGTTTAGGATTTCTGGGTCTTTCCGTCTTATTACTCATCGGACTGGCGTGTTGGCTCTGTTTGCTGTTTTTCTGTTTCCATTTGTTGCAGAGTTCAGCCTATCCTACAGCTCTAGGATCCTACAGCTCTAGGATCCTACAGCTCTAGGATCGTATCCTGTTTTCATTTTCCTTCCTGAGCACATGTTAAACTAAGCTTCAGATTAGAGTCATGTAATAATGTCAAATGTCTGTATTGTGGATACGGATTGAAGTCTCGTCCAGTATGTGTAAAGATTTATCTTTTATTGTACATATTTAGACTTTACCACAGAAATATTGGAGCAGTTTGCTTTATAAGATTAAAAGTATCCTTCAGACTGGAGCTCGTTTTGTGCTTAGAAATAATATGTTGAACTATTTTGCAATATACTATTTTAAATCTAAATCCTGTCACTTTGCTGCCTTTTAAAAATAGTGTGGGTATTTCAAATATCGCTAGAGCTATTTTCCTGAAATACATTTGCAAAATAAGGCTGCTATATATTATTTTTATTGATGGAAGAAAATAACTGTACTGCAATTCAAAAGTAAACTTATTTTATTATACAGATTATTTGGTTAAAACTCTATTTATACTTTAACCTTACAGAAATGCATTATTGCACCAAACTTGGATATCCATAATTTGTCCTGTTAAATACAGAACACTGTAAGTTAGAAACAAGAGTGCCCATACTGAATTTATTTTTGAAGTCAAAGAACCAATTATTCTCTTTGTATTTAGATTAGGATTATTTGGTCCATAGAACGTGTATGTTTATGTATACTATGGACATACAAATGAGGTGTTTGTGTTTTGCTTGTTAAATGCCATTTAAAGTTCACTTCTTGAGCATTAATAAAATGGGAATCTGTTCGGTTTTGGAATGGTATCTTGTTTTTTACCCCATTCGCAACTCTCCTTTTCTTGGTAACTCAGGGTACATATGCTTGGAATTCCCCCACCCCCCATTATTACTAGCTTGGATTTGTCCTATGCCTATAAAAAAGTCTTAAAAATGTATCATAAGTTTTACCTAACAAGTAAAGTTGTACTTTTAGCCACACTCCTATTAGTATTCTTTGGATGAACAGAGTCATTTAAGAAAAGAATGTGAAGTGGGGCATGGTGGCTCACACCTGGAAGCCTAGCACACTGGGAGGCTGAAGCCAGTGGATTGCTTGAGCTTAGGAGTTTGAGACCAGCCTGAGCACAAGGAGACCTTGTTTCTACTAAAAATAGAAAAAAGAAAAAAAACAAACTAGCTGGTCATTGTGGTGGACACCTATAGTCCCAGCTACTCTAGAGGCTGAGGCAAGAGTATGCCTTGAGCCCAGGAGTGTGAGGTTGTTATGAGCTATGATGACACCACTGCACTCTACCCAGGGCGCAGAGTGAGACCCTGTCTGGAAAAAGAAAAAGAAAGGAATGTATTTCTCCAGTTCGAAATCATTTAGCTTTCTCTTTCAAAGTTTTTACATTTGTTTATTTAGGGCAGGATGGAACTCTTTGACTTTAAACCTAAAAAAATACAAAATATTATCTACCTTTTACTAAAATGCTTTGTTTTTATATTGTGGGTAATGGGGGGGGGGATATTTTTAAATTGTGAAAAATGTTCAGATGCAGGTCTTGACTGCATATGAGTGTGACGTTGTAATCTTGGTGTGGGTCCCTGGCACCCTCCTCCCAAGAGCTTCTGTTCCTTTCCCTCTGGGGTTTTATTTTCTCCAGCCTTTGGTCATGCTACATTTTTGCTTAGTGTTTCTCTCTGTCACCAGATTGAGGGGTGGGTTTTTGACTGCGTATCCCCAGCTCCTAAATAATAGTTGGCACCTAGTACGTGTTGGTTGAGTGAACAGAGGCCATAAAAGCCACAAGTTATTGAAAACATAGATACTATCTAGCTAGCTTAGGATAGGTGGCCTTGAGAGAACAGAACAAGTCAAGTCCACTAGATAGGAAAAAGAAGAGAAGGACTGGAATGCCGGACCCCAGCTTACCCTTGATGGGTGATGGGGAAGAGTTAAGATGTCAAGGGCACAGGAGTAGGGGACTCGGGGAAGATACGATAGGGCCACAGCTCCCTTTCTGTGTTGCCTCAGGCTAACTTTGAATTCCAGTTTTAATATGATGACAGTTTACAGAACATGATAATATGTGTTGTCTAATCTAGTGAGAATGTACTGGATCCTACCCAGGTGAATATTTTTATTTCAGAGTTTTATTGAGGCTATTTATTTAGAATGTGTAATAATAGCATTTAAACCACATTGACCAATGGCTAGAAACCTAATGTGCTCAAAATCATTCTTAACTAAGAAATAGATCTAGTAGTTTTAACTATTCACTGGATATTTGTTATTTAAACGATTGAGTCAGAGATGTATAATATGTACCACGTATTACCACATTACAAGCAAATAGAATTTTTAATTTTTCTTCGTGCCCTTTGCTTTACTATCCTTATTTATAGTACAATACAATAGCTAATACAAAATCCATGATAAGGTATATTTTTAATAATTGTTTAGTAATATCCCTAGGTACATGGGCCCTTATTTATAAACAGTGTCACATAAGCTGTTGGATGTACAGCAGATTTCTTAATACTCCTTGTATAAAGGCTGAACAGAATATGATGTCTTTGCATAGGCAAAAGGTTTTATCTACCAAAATTTTTGCTAATGCTCTTTTTTACAGCATGAGAAAAGAAGTAGAAATAGGGTGGACAAGCATGTGTTACGGACAGGAACAGAGTTTTACCGTGTGTGGTAGAAACGAAACTTTCTGGTTTACAGCTCTAAGAACAGCTTGAGGGGAAGGGGAACCTTCTATTCTCTTGTTAGAATGTCCTCCAAGGAATAGAATTTTTGTAATGATGGATCAGCAGCCAGTTTCCCATCGATTATATCTTTCAAATAGAGAAATGCGGTGGTTGTGAGAAGGGGGCAGGGAGTTCAGAATGATGTGAAGATATTTCAGGTGTTTAAACTGAGGCTGTTAGCTTAGAATATAACCTGTTCCCAGGGATCACTGGGGCCCACTTAAAAAGTGCTCATAATCTGGTATAAGTTCAGCTCTAAAGTCCTGATGAACCCCAGTATGTGAGTTTATGCTGCTGTATTTACACACATGCGCACGCACACACAGATCTCTTTGTCAGGAGGCATTTGGTCTCAGGAGTGGATAGTCAGAGTTTTTTCAATTGATTAAATAAGGTGAAATAGGGAGTTTCAGAAATCTGTACCTAAACCAGTACTGAACCTAAATTTTAGGCATCCCTAAAGCATAGGCATATCTAAGTGCTGTGTCTTCCTTGACCTGTGTCAGTCTTACAGAGGTTCTTCCAAATCCAGCCTTAATAGCGCCCTTTACTTGAAGCAGACTTCAGCAAATTACTGAAGATTGAACTAATTACTACTTTTCACATATCAAATCAAATTAGGCTGACATGAAATGAATCATGTTAAAATTATACGTACAGCTATAAGCCGTTTTAAAAAACTTTTTTTTCTCTAGCAGCTTACAACTCAGTCAACAGTGGTAATGACTTTGGCTGCCCCTGACAGCCTCTTGTTCCGAAGGACAGGGGTTTCTGCCTAATCTCTTTGGAAAAACTATCCTAAAATGGATTTTTAAATGAATTTCAGCAGTCATAAAATGTCTCACATTGATGGTAGGGAAAGTGGATTTTACTTCACAGACATCATAGAACATTATAGAACAGAAGAATAAGGTAAGAAATTATAGTCACCTTTACTGAACGTGCTAATAAAAATGATTACTAGTAAGAATTCCAATAGATTATAGATATCAGTTTAAAATAGTATAATTTTTTCAAATGGTCTTTTCTGTTTCTTGAAAGGAATAGATCTTAGGGAATTATGAAATAGCATGAGATTTTTTTTTTTATTTTTTTGCACTTTTTTGCCAGGGCTGGGTTTGAACCCACCACCTCCGGTGTATGGGGCCGGTGCCCTACTCCTTTGAGCCACAGGTGCCACCCTAGCATGAGATTCTTGAGGCCTCAGTTCTCACTCCCTGGTGGGTGA